TGTCTTAGGGTCACCATAAGTCAGAAATGACTTGAAGGCACACCACGCATTCAACACAGGATCGGTATCAGTTGGAAATGACTTGAAGGTACACAACAAAAGGAAAGGAGGAAGGAAGAGAGGAAGGAAGGAAGAGTGGAAAGAAAGAAAGAAGAGAGAAGAAAGGAAGGAAGGGAAGAAGGAATAAGAAAGCAGGGAATTAAATATTCAGGAAAGGGCCTAGGACAAACTTAAAGAACCATCCTGAACCTAGGAACTGATCTGGATGGTCCTCAATGGAGAGGGACCAAAATGGTGAAGGGCATGGAAACCATAAAGCCCTATGAGGAGAGACTTAAGGGAGCTAGGTATGTTTAGCCTGGAGAAGAGATGGTTAAGAGCCCTGTATAAGTATTTGAAAGGGTGTCATGTTGAGGATGGAGCAAGCTTGTCTTCTGCTGCTCCAGAGACTAGGATGCAAGCTACAGGAAAAGAGATTCCACCTCAATATTAGGAAGAATGTCCTGACAGTCAAAGCTATTCAACAGTGGAATATTCTGCCTTGGAAAGTGGTGGAGTCTCCTTCTTTGGAGGTTTTTAAACAGAGGCTGGATGGCCATCTGTCAGGGATGCTTTGATTGAGAGTTCCTGCATGGCAGAATGGGGTTGGACTGGATGGCCCTTGGGGTCTCTTCCAACTCTATGATTCTATAATTCTATGATCTCCTTCCTTTGCTTTGCTTTAGGATCCAGGGGTCTTCTGTCCCCTGCCAGTTTCCCTCGCCTGCCTGCTGTGTCACTTGCCTCCATCCAACAAGTCACCATCCAGCCAGTCTGTGCCAGTGGAAAGTGGGCAGATGAAGAGGGGCATCCCCAGCTATCTATCCCAGGAACCCCCCTGGGCTCTTGCCTGGGCATCCTGCCGCTCCATTAGGCACCAAATTGTTCCATTAATGCTAACCAGCTCTGTGGAGATGTAACTGTCAAGGGTGATTTACTCCCTTCCAGCAGACGGGGAGACATTTACAAGCTTCGCCTGGAGGCCTGGAAGAGAGGCAGAAGCAGGAGCAGGTGGTCCTGCTTGTATTCATGCATGTACCGCTTTATGAGAGTGGCAAGTGGGCGGGTGGCCTTTTTAAAAATTATTTATTCCTCTCCTTAGAGATCGGGGGACATGAGTCCACTTCAATAAGCATCCAATCAAATCAGCCGCCATAAACCATCAGCACTTAAACGTGGCTAAATGTTTATATATATATATCTATACATACACACACCAGCATGGCATAGTGGCTTGAGTGTTGCACTATAACAATGGAGACCAGGGTTTGATTTCTGGCTCGGCCATGAAGCCCAGTGGATGGCCTCGGGCAAGTCACAGACTCTCAGCCTCAGGGGAAAGCAATGGGAAACCTCCACTGAACAAATCTTGCTAAGAAAACCCCATGACAGGGTCGCTGTAAGTCAATGACAGCAACCATGAAATATATATTAAAATTTCCTTTACCATTCCATCAACTTGATTCTGTATTCCTGTAATTTAAAAAAATATATATAGTCAAGGTCAAGGAAACAGAAGCCAAAAGTAAATGGAGAGGAAGAACCAGCTCACCCTTGGGTTTTCCCAATCCATGCAGAGAACCCGTTGTTTGCATCAGTAGTTCCCACAATGAGTTGACAACCAACACACAGTCCGCATGGCTGTGGGGATGGATCCAATATAATGAAGCAATCATGGCTACAGGCTACACCACACCATTATCTTTTTCTCTTCTGCCGCACACACTTGCACATGAGTGCATGAATGCACCATCAGCCTAAGTGTGACTGTCTGTTCAGTTGCATGATCGACTAACTGCCCATATGGCAGATCAGTGTGCCCAGTGGCATATTGGCACAGCACAGTACATAGCCCCTTCCCTCCATGGATCCCTGTTGGACTGGCCTGTTTGTTAATGTTTGTATTAAATTCATTTTATTGTTGGTAATCTGACATGTTCGTCATTTCACTTTACAGGGTGTGCGATGGGTCGACGATGTCAATGACCACTCGTGCGCTCGTGCAATCGATTCATGGGTGGGCAACGAAAAAAGTATGGCCAGCAATGGAGGCAGTAGCTGCCTGGTGGTTTGCACTGGACAAAAATATCCAACCACTTCTGCAGGGAAACATGTACACGCATAAGGCACCAATAGGATTCCAGCCCTTATTTTACTCATGTTTGAAGAATTCAGAGATATAGCCATCCTAGGGGTTGTAGACTGCCAGAAATAGTGCAAATTGAGTCCACTTTTAGGGTTAGGGTTAGGGGATCATGGGAACTGTATTTTATTGTGGCACCAGAGCTCTCCAACAGAGAAGGCTATATGTCTCAGGGGGGAAAAAATTCCCATGATCCCCTAGCACTAACCCTAACCCTAAAAGTGGACTCAATTTGCACTATTTCTGGCAGTCTGCAACCCCCCTCAGTCTGGACTATGAGTTTGCAAAGGAATCTTGTTGCACCTTTGAAACTAAATGTGCAAAAGAAGTTGTAGCGTAAACTTTCATAGACCTGGCCTACTTCCTCAGATGCACCTGAGGAAGTAGACAAACTCTACGAAAGCTTGTGCCACAGCTTCTTTCACACAGATGCGCTTGAGAAAGTAGACCAAGTCTATGAAATCTTATGCTACAGCTCAGGGATAGGCAACCTAAGGCCCGGGGGCCGGATGCGGCCCCTTGAGGCCTTTGGACCAGCCCAAGGCCAGTCCTGCCGCCGCCGCCGCCGCCACCACTGCCCACCATAATGATATTTGATTATTGTTGTTATTACTTGTTCTTGGGGTTTTCTTGGCAAAATCTCCACAAGGGTTTTGCCATGGCTTTTCTGGGGCTGAGAGAGTGTGCATGCATATATTTTTTTATTTTAAAAAATAATTTTTTAATATTTATTTATTTATTTATTTTTGGTGCTTCGGCCCCCCAATTGTCTGAGGGACAGCAACCCGGCCCCCAGCTCAAAAAGGTTGCCTACCCCTGCTACAGCTTCTTTTGCACCGATGTATCTGAGGAAGTAGACCAAGTCTGCAAAAGTTTATGCTAGAACTTCTTTCACACAGATGCACCTCAGGAAATAGACCAAGTCCATGAAATCTTATGCTACAACTTCTTTCGCCCAGATGCACCTGAGGAAGTAGACCAACTCTATGAAAGCCTGTGCTACAGCTTCTTTCACACAGATACACCTCAGAAAGTAGACCAAGTCTATGAAAATTTATGCTACAACTTCTTTCGCACAGATGCACCTGAGGAAGTAGACCAAGTCTACGAAATCTTGTGCTAGAACTTCTTTCACACAAATGCGCTTGAGGCAGTAGACCAAGTCTACGAAAGCTTATGCTACAATTTCCTTTGCACAGTTAGCCTCAAAGATGCGACACAATCCCCCTTTTTTAACCCATATTTGTAGCCTCGACTTTGTATCTGAATGTTATTTTTCTTGTCATTGCATTTCCCTTATTCATTTCCCCCATTTTGCAAGGAGACCCGGAGGCACAGAGGTCATTTAGAGGTCCACATGTAAGGTGCACCCCACCATACACACACATATATACACACACACCCAAAATGGACAAAGACTGGGAGCTAATTCCCACCTTGTTCCCAATACACTGTTTACAACAAGCCAGGTTGTCAGGTTTCCACCTGCCTAGAAACAGCAAGAGGGGTGATCCCACTGGATTAGTGGCCTTTTTGGGACACATCAGTCTCCATTTGGCCTCTCTTGTTTTCTCCTCCTTTTCACCTGTCTCAGGTTACCCGTCTGTGCCTTGCTAACAGTAGGTCAGACAGTCCCAGCTCTTTCAGCCGGAATAAAAAGCTTACCGGACTGAGAAGATGCATTGAAGAAACCAACCAGTAAAACCATCATCACAAAGAAGCTGAGATAGCAATGCAAAGTGAATTTAGGCTGGTGAGGTCCAGATGCAATTAATGCCATAGTTTTTTGTGGGTTTTTCGGGCTGTGTGACCATGTTCTAGAAGAGTTTCTTTCTGACGTTTCACCAGCATCTGTGGCTGGCATCTTCAGAGAAAACAGAGAAAACAGAACAACACACAGTTCACCTGGGAACCACTCCTCCCTATCCAGGGTCTCACAGTATATATACACCCAGGCTTTTCCATTTCAGTTTTCTCTGAAGATGCTAGCCACAGATGCTGGCGAAACGTCAGAAAGAAACTCTTCTAGAACATGGTCACACAGCCCAAAAAACACACAAAAAAACTATGGATGCCGGCCATGAAAGCCTACGACTTCACAATTAATGTCAGTTTGAAATATCATATAATTCCTCCATGAGGGTTCCTTCTTTTTATATTTTTATGATTTGCCTTTTAATAAATTATAGCTATCAGTCTCATCAAATATATACCCAAATATTGCAGTGTGCAAGTAGCATTTTTATAGAAAATATAGAAAACTTCTATAAAACATTTTTTATAGAAAATATAGAAAACCTTTTTTTTATGGAAAATATAGAAAAATATATATCTTACTATAAGTGTATGTGTACTTCTATATATAAATTAAAGGAAAAGGAAAGATGCTTTATACAAGCATGGGGGTTCCTTTTGTAGATCAGCTAGGGCCCATTCACTTTACAGAATTATAGCACTATGTTTCCCCTATCACTGCCATGATTTCATCCTATGGATTCCTGGGAGTTGCAGTTTAGGGTGGAGTACTTAGAATTTTCAGCCAGAAAGCTAAAGTGCCTTGTTAGTGTTGCTGTTGTGTCCCTTCAACTCATTTTTGATTTATGGTGACCCTAAGGTGATCCAATCATGGGGGTTTCTGAGGCTGAGAGAGTGTGACTCTCTCATGGTCATTCCATGGTATAGGATACTAGATTTCCATGACTCACTGGGGAATTGACTCCTGATCTCCAGAGTTGTCGCCCAACACTCAAACTGCTATACCACACTGGCTCTCAAGAAAAAGTCACTTGAATTAAGTTGAAATGTTTCAGCCTTCAGGTTCCACTGAGATGTGAACTCAGATCACCAGATCCAGAGTCCAGAGTGCTGACCATTACACCAAACTGCAAATCTCAGCATTCCATAGGATGGAACCATAGATCAGTGCTATAATTGTATAGTATGAATGGACCCAGGTAGAGACATCAAAGCGACGGGTTAATTTTTTGGAGGGGGGATTTTCGGGGAGTTTTAGCTCCCTCCCCATAAGTAACTTCCCTGATCTGTGCTCTGTCTTGCAAATGCCTCTTGGATTTCTTCATTTCGTCCAGGTGGCACCTACCGTGTTGTTGTGCATGGTGTGGTGGAGCTGGGTAACTCTAAACCTTGGACTTAATGTTCACATGGAGAGGGTAATCGTATGGCCTTGTGTGTTACTTCAGCTGTGAAGGACGGGGCTAACATTGCTCTTCTCTCCTCCATGACTTATTGCTCTTCCATGAATTGCAAGCACTGCTAGTATTTGTGTGTATGTGTATGCCTTTACCTGTTAACTTATGGCGACCACATACATTGTAGAGGGTTTTATTACACAAAGAATATTCAGAGGTGGTTTTGCCAATTTCTTCCTCTGAAACAGAGCCGATAGCGCCTGGTGTTTGTTGGCAGTCTCCCATCCCAACCTGACCCTGCTTAGCTTCCAAGATCAGACAGGATCTGGTGCCTTGAGGGTATCTAAGCCCAAATGAATTGAAGTGTTTAAATCATCAACAACAGTTTTCCAACCCTGGTGAACTACAGGCTGCATCTACACTACAGAATTAATGCAATACACCTTAGGGTCAATATAAGTTGGAAACGACCTGAAGACACACAACAATTATATACATATATGCATATGTTTATGTATATGCAGAGCCAGCATGGTGTAGTGATTTGAGCATTAGACTACAACCCTGGAGACCAGGGTTCAAATTTCCCTTCGGTCATGGAAACCCACTGGGTGACCTTGGGCAAGTCACAAACTCTCAGCCTCAGAAAACCCCATGATAGGTTTGCCATAAGTCAGAAACAACTTGAAGGCACACAACAATATGAATATGTATTTTTGTTGTTGCGTGCCTCCAGGTCATTGCCAATGTTGCTGACCCTAAGGCAAACCTAAGACAAATTGAACCCCGATCTCCAGAGTCCTAGTCCTATGCTCAGACCACTACATCACTCTAAGTACAGTCAGCCCTCTGTATCCACTGATTCTTTATCTATATGGATTCAAGCAGCCACAGTTTGAAAATACTCGAAAAAGATATAAATTCCAAAAAGCAAACTTTGATTTTTCCATTTTATATAAGGGATACCATTTTACTATCCATTGTATTTAATGGGACTTGAACGTCCATGGATTTTGTTATCCACAGAGAGTCCTGAAACCAAACCTCAGTGGCTACCAAGGACCCAATGTATATGTATATGTGTATTTGTATGTGTATGTGTATGTGTATATATATTAAATCTGTATTTAAGAGCTTGAGATGAGTCTTTGGAAGACTTGGAGTCCACAAGGCAGGCACTGGGAGCTTGTATTTTCCTCATCTCTCCTATAGATCTTGCCCATGTTTGGTATAAGGCAAACCTATCATAGGTTCCACTACTCTATCTCAAAGGATCCCCCAATGAGCCAGGCATTTCCAGACAACAGTGCCTTGAACCACATAGAGATGAAGTGATGAAGTGGACTGGGTTTATGTTAGAAAATTCTCATTTGGTCTTAAAGGTGCTTCAGGATTCCTTCATATCATTTTTTATACTGAAACAGACTAACATGGCTATGTCTTTGAAATATGTAGGTTAGAAAGTTGTACTATCAGCATCCCTAGATATCAGGGACTGTGAATTCGGGAACAATGTCAATGTTTCTCCCCTTCATTCTGCATGGCACCATTGATCATTGTGGTATGAATCCAATAAAAGACTCTGCACTGAGCTGGAGCTGATTCCCAAGATTTTGATATTAAAACTGGTCACACATCGCTGCTCAAAGATAAGAGCTGACATTTTGCTTGTCCTCATACATGGTCTTATATGTGTGCCCAAGATTGAATTGAGTAGTTTTGTAGTGTGCATATTCACCTAGCGGCTGCCATGATGTTACAAAATACATGCATCCATTGTGCGATGGTAGCTGGTGGAGTGACCAATGTGTCATAGGCCTGATGTTCCATAGGCACCAATGTACATCCGGGCACTGTTGTGTGCCAGAACACAACAGGAGAGCCTGGTGTGCATCTGGAGTGCCCAATGCACCACAGAAGTGCCCAATGCACATTGGAGCACTCTTGTCAATACCCTGATGTGCATCTGCACAATTCACTAACAGGGTTTCCTTTTGCTCCTGCAGCATAGCTATGGATTCGTGAAGTTATGGAGCACAAATTGTGATGTAGGATCTCAGCCAAGGTTTATTGGTAGTGGATCAAAATCTGTCCCCTCTGAGGACAGGGCAGTGGCAGCTGGAATGGATGCACAACCTTTCATCTGCTTTTGTAGGCATGATGTGGGCACTTATCACATTACAAAATAAACCTACTTACCCCTGCCGGTTTCAAGACAATTATGGGATGCAGCTGGGAACTATCACATGCAAAATGCCACCAATGCTGCCACCTGGCTGCATCCCACCTAAAACATGGCTAAAATCCATGCTCAGCTGGCCAATTTGCAAAGTTGGGAAGCTCCTGACTTTGCAAATCAGCCATCTGAGCGAGACTTCTAGGTGGGTTTTAGGTGGGATGCAGTTGGATGGTGGCATGGGCAGCATTTTGTGTGTGATAGTACCTCGCTGCATCCCATAATTGTCTTGAAACTGGCAGGGGTAATTAGGTTTATTTTGCAATGTGATATGTAGTTGTGCTTGCCTCTTCTCTTCCTCTACTACAAGGGCAGTGGTAGTGTGGATGGATGGAGGGTCTTTCATCTGCTTCTGGGCCTAGGCATGATGGCGCCATGCCTTCTTGTTGTTTTTAGGCTTTCATGGCCGGCATCCATAGTTTTTTGTGGGTTTTTTGGGTTGTGTGGCCATGTTCTAGAAGACTTTCTTTCTGAAGTTTCGCCAGCATTTGATGCCAGCCACAGATGCTGGCAAAACGTCAGAAAGAAACTCTTCTAGAACATGGCCACACAGCCCAAAAAACCCACAAAAATCTCTTGTTGGTTCCTTGCTATGCATCTTCACAATATACTAACAGAGTTTTATTGCACCTCTGCCATGTAAGTAAGGATTTGTATATACTGTGGTGTAGAATTCCAGCCCATATTATCTCCAGCACAGAAAATGCTACATTCTGTATACATCAACCATGTATGAATTTTGCACAAAATAAGTCCCAGATTGCGAGTAGGTTTCGACAAACGTGGTTTCCAAAGACCTTCTTGCAGTGGGAAGAAAATTGCTAAAATTATTTGCTATTTCCTTCCAGAAGAACACTATTGAAGAATGATATTGCTAGCCTGGTGGCAGCATCTATGCTCACTACAGACTCCACAAGTCTTTTGCTGACAAATTTATTGAAAGTCTTAATGGTATTTGATTAGAGAAGCGACAGAGACAGAGAGAGAGAGAGAGAGTTACCAGACATAACACATAACCTACAGTTAATACTCAGTTTTACAGGTTATGAGATATATATAGTTTTGCCTTTCTTCAAATCTGTTTTCATGGTGGTTTGTTGTGAACAGCCTGATGATGCATAGAACAGGATGAGCATGGATTTTTAGAAAACTCATTGTCAAGTGGCATACAAGTGAGGTGGGACTTCAGAGAGACCTGATAAAAGAGTTGGGCAAAATGTCTACGTACAAAGAAGTATTTGGCAACCAGGAAGCAAAATCGTGCAACCTTAAGAAACATTTGCGATGGTGTTGCAATAGGTACAAGATGCCCCATCATCCACAGGAACAAACAAATAAATATAGAGCAGACAAATCTCATCTGCTAACAACTCTGGTCCTTCCCAGAGCTCATAAATGTTACTTTTTGAGCTACAATTCCCAGGATTTTGGAAATTGTAGCCCCCTCAAAGCAATGTTTATCAGTTCGACCTTCAATTTCTCAGTAAAAAATGATGAATTCAACCCATCAATTAAGAATATTTTGCTAGCATACAAAAGAGACCCTCATCCATAGGGCAGCAGCTTTTCATTGAATCATAGAATATGGGATTTTCCATTTTTCAACGTAATTTGTATTACAAATACATATCAAAAGGGCCAGTGCCACTGAAAGGGGACTTAACATGGCTTCGTATGTGCTAACCCTTTCCACCCAAATGCTTGCATTTCTTTCATTTGCATATCTTGGTCCTAGGGAAAACTCTTCCAAAAGAACAGGCTGATACTGTGAAGGTTACATAGTATATTTTGTTCCCTACGACACCAAGAAGTTGGGGAATGGTTGTTTACGTTACAGAAGGACCAACTGATGGCTAGAAGTCCAGACTTCTATCAAACAAATTAGCTTCGTGGATTTTCCCAGCAGATGCGCTTGCAGTAGTGACTTGGCAAGCTATATTAAAATGTGATTGCTCAAGACTCCCATTCTGTTTAGATTCTGGTCTGTTCGGGAATGAGACAGGAATGCATTTCTTTCTCCAAATAAAGTTGGGTCCTTGATTCGCCAGCATGGCCTACCAATCTGTCCTGGCATGGTTAGAAGAAGTAATTCCACTTCACCATCTTAGAAGAAAATAGTTCCACTCCTAGAGAACAAGGTGTGTGCATATGTTTCATCACAGATTACTAGTGCAGATTTAACAGATCAGGACCACTCCTAGAAGAAAATCAGTGCAACTGGTATCTCTCGGCAAAGGTGGTGGAGTAGCCCTGCTTTCCTTCTTTCTCTTCAATAGCAGACAAAAACCCATAGTGTTATTCAGTTAGGATTACTTTGAACAGATGACCGTTCCTAGATATATGGTACCTGCGGGTGCAGTTTGACACCATTTTAAGTGCTGTAGCTCCATCCTAGGGAATTTTGAGATTTGTGGTTTTGCAACATCTTTAGCCTTCTCTGCCAAAAGCGTGCTGATGCCTCACAAAACTAGAAATCCCAGGATACTGTAGGATGGAGCCATG